AAAGAAGGCCTCCTTCCAAAGTGGGGGGCCGAAGTTACTTTTTTTCTTTTTTGTTAGTTATAAAGCAACCTAAAAGTAGCTCCTCGATAGGCCATCTTATGCATTTCTATACAGGGGATCATGATGATGACGGCTGGATTTTTCCGTTTGCTCGATGATCTTCCCAAGATATTTTGGCGCTACCCAGTTTCGTTAATTGGTTACGGTGCATGGGCATTGCAGGTTAATTTCTTATTTTAATGTGATATTTTCTTCTTATTTGAATGTGATACTAAGATTGAGGTGAAATTTTAAATCGTGTCCAGGGATCGTACAAGAATGATATGCTTGGACTCGTATTCGATCCTCTTGTGCCCGGGGATCCAAAAATAACGGGCGCGCATGTCATAAAGTTTTTGTTCAAAATACCGTTGGATCATTCCAAGTGGTGGGATTTGTTTGCCGTGTACGCACTTATAGTATGTTATAGACTCCTCTTCTTCATCATTCTCAAGTTGAGAGAAAGAGCGGCACCTATTTTTCACTCGCTTTATGCAAAGAGAACAATGCATCGCATCAAAAAGCGCCATTCTTTCAAGAGGAAGCCATCCATTTCTTCCAAGAGGCACCATAACCTCCACCCATTATCTTCTCAAGAAGGTCTAAACTCTCCGATACCCTAGAGGACTGAAAGACGAGCATGTCTACATATCACACTTGATTTTATTCCGATATCTTATGTTCACCATGTTCTCTTACTAACATATATTGTTGTTTTTCACGGTTTAAAGTTGTATTTGGCTTGCGACGTAATAAATGCTTTTAATATCCAAAAGAAATACGCTAAAAGGTTGGATTTAGACTCATGTACAAAATATATTTGTTATTCTTCCATAATATAATATGTAATACTAATAACGAGCATGCCGCTCGAGGAGTTTCTCTTATTCGTATGCTTTACATAAATCATTGGTGTTGCACATTCTCTGGAAATATATTCACCTTATGGTGTTACCAAATAATGTTATGAACATGGCTATCGAATATAAAGTCGTCACTCTGAGGCAAAAAGTTATCGGATGGGGAAAATCTTGCAAGAAAC